CAATTTAGCAACTGGTTATATTTCTGCATGTCATCTAGTCTTTTTTTAATCTAAACAATTAACTCTGTTGTTGCATGCAAGAAAGAATTTGGTATTTAAATTATTAAAAGTAACTATATCCAAAGAAAACTAATATGAAACAAAAAAAAAAAAAAAAAAACAATGTATTAACAACTTGATCTCTGCTGTTTACTTATGAGATATTTAATTTCTATGTTGATAACATGAGGCATATTCACTTTTTGGCATTGAGTAATGGCTTCTGTTAATTTAACAATGAAATATCTCATTAATTCTTATAGGATAGATATTGATGTGTGACTGATAAATATATAGTCAAATTGTATTTTATATTGCAGAATAGATCTATTAGACAGATTTGCTGTTTCCAAATTTCAAACTGTTTCTGTAGAATATTTTGGACAAGGTTTTTACCTTGTTTTGTAAGTAAAGTAGTAGTTTTCCAATGTAGATATATTTGAAATCTTGTCTTCCTTGTTGTGGTATGCACAATAATGAACAGCTATTTTATGCTGGTCAGGCAGGCAGCTTGGCAGCGTGCACTGCTCTCTTGAATCACATTCTTTCCTGTCCACTATCTAACTGGGTCACATTGCTCACAAGAGAACAACACTTGCTGCTTTCAGAGGTCAATGCTGCTAACAGATGACTTTCAAGTAGATTAACTCATTGCAGAATTGAATAAACTTTCATAATTGAGCCATTCCTTCTATTGGATTTCAATGTCATTTTCTTTTAGATATTAAATGTTTTCTTTTGTTGTGCAATCCAAATTCTAGCTGTAAACATTTCTTACTTTTGTTGGAAGTGGCATTCAGTTGATCTTCATAAGTGGATGGCTTAGAAATTATAAGTTTCTTTTCAGCATTAATTTTGGATTTGTAATTGCATTTATTTTGATAGCAATGCTTGTTTTGTATTTATGCTAAACATTCAGAAAACAGTTTCAAGGGATTTTTTCCTGAAGCTTAATAATTTGAAAATTCTGAATCATTAGCAAATAATACTTTCACATGTTGTAATTTTTTCCATCATTTCACCCCAAGCAAGGCAATAAGGTTCAAGTGGTTAATGAATGTAAAAGAATAAGAAAAAGAAAAACATTAAGGAACAAGAACAATGAAAGAAGAATCAAGTAAACAGAATAAAACAACTGACAACTGGCATTTAAATTATTGAAGATCAAAGTTACATAGAAAGCAAGAAGCTGGAAGATAGTTCCACAGATGAGAAAAGAAACTGTTAGCAAAGAATGATATTCTCAAAATTGTCTTTTGAAAACATTCCTAGTCCTGATTATGAATTCATTTCTAGATTTTATGTTTTCAATTCGGTTTCTTTTATAAGCAAGAATTTTTCTCTTTCCCTTTTCTATTTTTCTCTCAAGGAAATAATTGTTAACTCATCTGCAGTTATAATGTGCTTTACACTTACTACTGTTTCTGATGTTTCACTATTGAAAATTGAATCATAAAAGAATAACTTTAATATTCTTACAGATACCATTTGAAATGAAAACTTGTTATCTACAACTTAAATTGTTCAAATGAAGAAATCTGGCTCAACTTACAGGAGTCAAAAATTGTCATCTGATGTTATGAGGATGTCTCAAATTGTGCATGAAGAAAGAGAAAATATTACAGTAACAGATTTACTATCCAGTACAATATCAATTACTGTTGTTACCAAAGAATCTTACAGAGAAAATATGAAAGGCCTCTAGTGACTTTATATATTCAACGGTTACTATTCTTGCTACCGTTACAGAAATTGAATTTAGTCTAGAATCCATACCAAAATTTTAGAGTGTCATGGCAAAAATGATACTTCTGTCTACAGAAACAAAGGCATTGAGTACTTATGATCCACTTGTGAATTTATTTAGACATAATTACAGAATAATAACATAAATAGGGAATAATTTTGAATTTTCAATAACGAAAAAAATAAAAAATATTTTCTTTACCTAAAGATGTTTCACTATTTGAAAACTCATTCTGTCCTCTAACAACAAAACTGACCCTTCCTGACTATCATCGAGCTTTGCATTACCTACTATCCGTTGAGTGTCTGCTGTAATGCAGTGACTAGCAAGCTTGTCTTGCAAAACTATTTGGTCACACTAGTAAGTTCAATTCTCTCTAGGTGACTCTCCCCACTTTATCTAAGGTCAAACTTAATAATTATAACCGTTATTAATCACATTATTCTTTAACATATATTTAAATTTTTTAAAAGATAATTTTTCCATTAACCTTCAATTAATTGAAAATGTTTTAAGCAGAACATTCAGTTGACAAATGCTTGAAATAGGGAACATGAAAATAATTATTCCTAATTCTATCTTTAATTTAGAAAATGTTTATATTTAAATTATGAATGAAGTACATTTTTAACAGCATAAAATCTCTATCAATAGTGTAAGATCTGTATTGAAAGTTTTTTTCTTTTTTTCTCTAAAACACAAAAATACATATTGGCTTATTTTTGCAAGGCTTGTATAAATTCCTTACAACTGACAACCCTTTTCTTTCCTATTGTGCCATGTACCTTCAGAATATGTGTGATCATGGCTTTCCAAACCTTCTTTCCTCATTGTATAATAAAGTCATGAATACATTACATTATACATATAACATCACCATCCTCTTATTAATGCTTGCATTAATTCCTGACTACTGACAGTCCGTGTTTCCTGATTTTCAATGTATTTCTTTTGTAAAGTCATTACCATTGGTTTTATTTCAATTGACAACATACAGTATGAGTGCCAAAACTGGCTAGAACAAAATTTAAGTTCAAAAATATTTATTTATTGCAGACAATGACGAGGTAGTAGTCGAATATCACTAAATAAGTATGTAGTGTTTTTAAAAAAAATTGCCTATATATAAGGAGGTGCTGAAAATTCTTGAACTTTACGTGCTACTCCAAATCTGACTTCTTCTTGGTCAGATGAGAAATTTTCAGCACCCTCTTTATACTGGGCCCAAATAAAACCATTTTCTCTTCTATTTTCCCTTTGCTGTGTCACTGTAGGTATAATCATTAGGATGAATGAAAAAGTTTTTAACTTGTGTTGTTATATCATAACTCACATAAACAGTTAATATTTATATAACTGATTTTAGTTATTGATGCGTTATTTCACTTAGTGTGACTCAGTGCAACAAAAGTAGACCACCTAGTGAGGAACAAACCTTTTACATGAAAAATAGCTTGTGACTCTAACTTTCTAACTATTGCTTCATTTTAGTTGCTCTTGTATTTACTATTTTGCTATGTAGGATAATATCAGGTTTTAGTATTTAAATTGTTTATAGTTGATACCATTAAGAATGCTCTTCTTTTTATACTTGCATTACTTTATTATTTCTTCATCACTGAAATGATTATTTAGAAAATCCAGTCTTTTCTTGGACCTGTACATTTCTTACAAACTGCATTTCTCGGTAAATTCTTTGTCAAACGTAGTTTTTACTTTTTCCTAAAACTTGTTTATCTTATTATAACAAAAATAATGACAAGTTTAGGACTCTATAACAAATGAAAGTCAAGTATTGTTTAGAAATCTTTTTAATTTGCATCTGGTTTAATTTCATTGTTTTTTCTTCAGATCAACAATGATGTTTCTGTTTCCAAATCCAAATCAGATTAAAATCTGTTCCTTCTTGCTAAGTCTTTGTGTTATTCTGGCAACCAATAATTTAATAAAATCTTTTGCATATTCCATGAATTCATTTCTCAAGAAAGATTGCTTTCATATTTTGTATACTTTAGAGATTCAAATTGTCATCTCCTTGTGAGAATCTTCTGATTAGAATACTAATTACTCTTTCTTTTATAAAATATTACATTTGTGACTGATCTTATCTACACTTGAAAATATTCTGTTCTATTATCTGATATATTCATTGGTCTTTTATGTCCAGATGTCTTTTAGAAATCATTTAGTAGCTTTTTTATTTATTTTTTTTAACCTATCCATGACAATAAAAAAACAAGATTAACAAAGTCAGATGACCTGGTACTAAAGTCTTGTATATTAAATGCAAACACCATATGGAAATGAGTGCTTAAAACAAGTAATTTTGGCAGCTAAGCCTTCTCTATCAGTAGTCAACATGCAGTTATTTCAACAAACTTTAGCACTGCAGACACATGATATCACTCATCTCAGGCATAAATGAATGAACAAGTCCCAGAGTTTTTTTTTTTTCTCTCCAATCTCATCTATCCTTTTGTTAACATTAACATATATCATTGATCTCAATTCTAGAAATGCTTACCAAGGATATAGTTTGAAACCATTTTTCAATCTTTGGTTCAATGAAAAAAGTGTGTACACTATCAATTTGAAAATTTGTTTTTCTTGAGATGTTAAGATTAAAAAAGAATTTCAATTACTTTGTGAATTTAAACAGAAATGAAATCCAGTGTTACTTAGAATTAATTCACTCTTAGTATGTGAAATGTTATTGTCTCCCCTTTTTTATTGTAACCAACATTTTTTTAAATCTCTGTTCACTTCAAAGTACATTAGAGGCAAATATGAAGAGGTGACGAAAAGTTCTCATTCGAACTAAGGTATTCAAAAATAAATTCTGACATTTAGTTATTTGGTTAGATTTTTGGAAGTGGATTATGCTGAGAACTTTTCAGCACCACATCATACAACACTATACAATCATATATCACATTTAGCCAGAGTGATTATATTCTTGTTTTCAATTTAGGTCATTTTACAAATGTTTCTATAATATAGACGATCATCATGTGAACATGTTAATTTTCCTCTCATTTTTATTATTTTCTAATTCTACAGAAACTTCCTCCCCTTTATACACATACTCAAGATGGAAAAAACTAATTGTTCAATTTCATAAAAATTAATTTTGTCAGTTTAATATGATTTGGATCTAATATCAGAAGATATTATGAAACATTGGCTTCAACATGTCCACTTGTTCTCTTTGCAGGTATGCAGCAAAGCTTTTAAGGCAAAGGGCAGCATGCTTTATCACAAAAAAGTAACTCATGGTGTAAATGTAGAACTTAGCCAAGGCCTTGAAGAGCGCTACCTACGTTTGAAAACTCGGGCCCAAATGAAAACTCTGTATTTGCATGAAAAACTCCAAGAGACAGCAACAACGGGTGATCAAGATGCAGCAGCCATGGAAGTAGGCTTGAGCAAATCATCTGAGCTGCTCAAAAGCAGTGAGTCTCAAGGCGAAGTGACCACTAACACTAACACCTCTGAAACTCTTCCACTTCAAGCAGCAATTGCAAGTGGTGGCACCTATCCAAATGGAGACAATATTGAAGCAATGAAGTCCTGTTCTACTTTCAAAGAGGAGCTTGAACTGGCAAAAGGCCTTGGACTTAATGATCAAAAAATCTCTGAGGCAATGGCTGAAGCAAGCTTGTCAAGTATGGAAATTTCACATCTTCATAAACAGCCTCCACCATCACAGCCACCACCACCACCACCACAATCTGCATATTTTGTTCACCCTGATGTTGGAACGTCATCTTCCGTAACAAGTCCAGCAGCTGTTGTGTGTGGTATACGTAACAATGCTGTAGAGCCATCAGTATCCCCAACCTATGGGCCTGCAGACAATTTTGTGATTACTACTGAAGCACTGTTCACAAAAAATCGTATTAGTATAAAAAATGAGACTGTAATTGCAACGCGGATTGATGGGGTCAATCTGAGCAGTGGCATGAAAACGTCCCTCTACAAGTGTTATCTGTGTGGCAAGATTTTCAATTACCTCAGCAAACTCCAGTGCCATTTGTCCCTGCATTATGAGCGGCACCTAGTAACCTACCAATGTTCTGTGTGTGGTACCAACTTCAAATTCAAAACCCAATTACTCCGTCATTCTAGGCGACACAAACTGCCCCCAAAGAGTTCCGTGCAGGTAGATAAAGAGGGACAGTTAGAAGAGACCGTCCCTATCAGCCAAGACGCCCCTCAGTTAAGTGAGGGAACAAAAGAAAGCTTATCATTTACTCCAGAATTCAAGGAGCCTTCCGTTGAGGATGACTCCACTAAAGAGACTCCCCTAGTGGAGCCCTCTTCAGCCAATCCTTACCATAATAATAACAGTAGTAATAATAGCAGTATAGGTTCAAATAGTGTGCCAGCTAGAGATTTTGTTTATCCTTATCAAAAAGTTAATGGCTGTTATGTTTGTCTCTATTGTAGGAAATCTTTTACCAGGTTCTTCTCGTTGCAACGTCATGAAAGAATCCACACTGGCTACAAGCCATGCTATTGTAAAGAATGTGGCAAAGGCTTTAGCGAATATCGTAACCTGCGCCAACACGTTATGCGTTTCCACAGTGATAATTACCCAATGGACTACGTTCGGAAAGTGAGGAAACGAGCAATCCTAGCTAGCTTAAAGTCTTCCATTAGACTTGGTTACCTAAATCGACTCCAACAGAGGATGGGTGTGCCTGATATGATTGATGCTGGCACAACCTCTACCTCTCGTGATGAGCTTCAAGTGGGTGGTGGTGGTGGCGGAAGTGGTAGTAGCATCCTGGGTAATGATGATAACCATCTCCACCAACACCATCACCATCATCATCATCATCATCTTCTAGGCAGGGAAAATTCAGATTTGAAATATGTTTCACATGTTGATGTTGGTCTGGGTGGTGCAGGTACCATTACTAATACACAATACATTAGTAAGGAGCAGGAGTCTGAACAGTTGAGACAGGAGGAGGAAGAAAAAGAGAAAATGAATGCCAAGGAAATCTTGAAGAAGGAAGGCATCAAAGAAGATGTGACAGTCGTGCTGCCGTCCGATCCCCCAGCCGAAAATGAAGAGGTGGTCTTAGATCCACATCATTCGAATGGACTTCCTGAGGGCAACTGGTCTGAAAATACCTCAGAAAATGGCGAAGATTGCATAAGCAGTGGCGAAATCATTGCCGCCCCCAAGCGCTGCCTGTTACCTCAAAATAAGAAAGACAGCTCTCTCTTCAAATCCAGACGAAAAGCATCACTGACATACAAGGTAGAGAATAATCAGCTGCCAGCCTCTCAACCATCACACCTTCAACAGCAGCAACAACCACCACCACCACAACAACAACAACAGCAGCAGCAGCATCAACAAGCTGGGCCACAGCCACAAGCAGCTCACCTACACCCTCCTCCTAGCCATCCACCTGCTGTTCCTCCTCCCCCACCTCCTCCTCCTCCCCAGGTAGCAGCTACCCCCCAGCCAGTTGTGGTAAACAGCGAGCCAGAGATGGTCATGTCCACTTCCCATCTGGGACAGAGTTTATTGAGTAGCATGCCCCAGAGCAGCATGCTTTCCAGTATGACTGCATTGGGACCAATTACATGTAACTCTATGGTTTTGGGAACACCGACTTTACCTGCTCAGGCAGCCGCTTCCTTCCTGGCTGCCTCCCAGTTGCTCAGTCCAACTGTCTCTCAAGCTCTGACCGGGTCACCAATTGTCAATATTCCATTAGCTCTTTCTGCAGATCCTCTTTCTTTGGCTTCCTCCACATCCTCTCTCACTGGAACATCTCAGTGTCCGTCTCCTGAGGAGACTCTGGTTGGACTCCCACGGGTTCAGTGGCATGCTCCACACTCTCCAGATAGCATTCGCAATACTATCCTGGCAGATGGACGGAAGCTAACGTCACTATCCAGAACACACTCCAGGTGAGCCAATTGTTTTTCATTTGCTAAATGCATTTTTTTCTCATCTTCATTAATGAAATTGTTTCTGTTTATACATTCAAATGCAGTATTCCTTCTGAAGTAAAGGAAAATTTTTGTTTGTACAATAAGGTAATTACATTTCAGAGCTTGATTATTAATTTTTTCTTTACAATAATAAAATATTTATAATGGAAGAGAAATTAACTAATAGTAATATTAAAGCTCCAAATATCATGAATTTTCAAGATATTAACAAAATAAATAAATTCGAGAATTTATATGTATTTCTAACTGTAAGTGAAGAATATTTTTGCTGTAAAACAATAAAAATTTTATTTTTTCCTCGTTACAGTCCTGTAAATATTTAGTGATACATATTTAATGATTCATATTAGAATATATATGCATATTTTTAGTTGAGGACTTTTGTAACTTTATATTAAAGTTATGCACAAAATCTTTAGAAGTATTTCAAGAATTATTCTTATTTTCTTTTTGTTGACTCTAAATAATTTTATAAACTTTTATGAATCCAAAGACTTTTCTATCAAGAAAACAAGTCCTGTAGGGTAAATACATGCTGTAATTGAAATATGTGTGCTAATTTGAAGCTACCAAAATAAAAAATTTCAATTGATAAAGACCAATTTATTTGTTTTCTGCTTTGAGCAATGTTATTATTACTGAGCAACTATGTTAGATAATACTCTGAAGCTTTATGTCTTCATAAATACAACAGATTATTATAGTAATAAAAATGAAAACATTCTACATAGACTAGAGAAACAGTCTTTATAACAGCTTGCAGAGTTTCCATTCACTTTCTTTAGTATATCTATAAAATGTTTGTTTGCATTTCAGATTCAATTTAGAAAGTTTTTAGTTTTATATTTGTCTTTTATATTTTCTCAACACCTCCATTTTAAAAAAATTCTTGCAATCTGCTATTCTGTGAAAAACTCATTCAAATTATATACATGCAAACTGTTTTGTACTTTAGTTGTCACGTTTATGATTAAAATGTTCAAACTGAAACCATAACCTGCAATGCATGAAAAGGGTTGTACTTTTAAAAAAATATAATTTTATTTAATTTTCACTTATATTGTTGGCAGAAAATTAAATCAGTGATTTAGATTGTAATACATTTTTTGAAATTATGGATAGTCCTTTATTTAATACTCTAATAATGCATTTTGATAGCAATTTAGACTTTAAAAACTCTATCCTCACTAAAATGTTGTATTAGAGTAAATAAGTATTAATTTAAATAGACAAACAAATATGAATTTTCAATAATGAAATGAAAATTATAATTTTTAGTTTCCATAATTTCCTATTTTCTCTGTTTTTTCATTGAATTTGAATAACTGCATATAAAAATGGCATATTTCACCATTTGTCCTTGAAGAACAAGACATCTTTTGCATATTTTTATATAAAAAAGACATGACAAATTAAAATGTTATGTTTCACAATATAAATCTGTTGTAAATTGTACTTATATTAAATGTAATTAGCACTTTAAGTTAGTGAAATTTATAAGGAAAACATTCTTAAATAATTTCTTATAAATGCATGTTTCCATCTAATTTAAATATTACTCATTATTTTCTTTCTACAAAATTTTAATTTTCATATTTGAACAGATTTGATTTTAAAATTGGACCATTTAAAATTTACCAAGTACTCAATAAAAAATAATCACAATTACTTAAAACAAAAATTGTAAAATAATTATTTTAAACTTAACTTCTTTTATTGCATGATACTGCACTGTCTGCATGTTGAAAAGCAACAGAACTAAAGTTAACAGAGTTTGATAATTTTAAAAAATTCTTCAAATCCATCATTTTCTTCCTTATGTCCCAAGAAGTAAGAAAATAATGACAAGAATTTATGAAAATTATTTGTCTAGACAACATTTGAGGAAAGAGTTTTTTGTAATAAATGTTTCTTGCAATTTATATCACAATTGTATACACACTGTATTAACAGATATGAAATAAAATATTTCTAACTATAACGTTTTGGCATTTTACTTATGAAATGCCACTCAGAAATTATATTCATATTTAAAATTGTCTTTTTTAAAACACACTTTTATTAATGTAAACATTTTGCTGGCTAAAAAGTTATGACACTGAAAATAAAAGTTTATTTTGCTTTGTGAATTATTCAAGTTAATAGAAGGTAAAATAAGAACCTTGAGTATTCATTTAGAATCACTTATACTTTAGTTTTATTCAGAGTGAACTGAACAAGGCTCTTTTATTTATTAAACTTAAATATTGCTTAATATATTTTAATTTAATTGAACAAAAGATTTAGAAAACATCCTATATAAAAACAGTTCTCTTTAATTCATAATCTTGTCTGGAATGAGGAGTTAACATTATTTAAATAATTCATGGCTTATTTAATAAAATATGTCAAGTTATAGAACATGCTTGAAGCAAATAAATCTTTATCTAATTTTCTGCAACTCTAAACAAACGTATAGGGAAAATTTTATATATATATAAAAAAAGATATATATATATTTGAGTTAACTCAAATGCTGCAGTGTACAGGTAGCTAATCTAGAGTTATCGCCCTTACTTTTTAAATGTCGGAGTTTTTATTGCCATTTTGATCGATTAAAAATACAAAAGTACAATGTCACTATTCTTGTCAAGTATTAAATTTCATTAGAAATTCTGTTGAAAATTTATCCTATATGGAAGTTTACTAAAAAAAATTTTCTGTGCCTAAATGGGCCGAAAGTGAGTGGCGGAGGGAGTTCTCAATTGAAAAAATTCATTCTTTTCAGTTTTCTGCAATCTCAAATGGAGTGGTTTTATTATGAGATGAAAATAACATAATAAACATATGAAAATGCTTGTTTGTCATTTGTTTGCAGTCTGAACTGCTTTTATCTATTATGTTTTGCTTTTATTGATTATTTAACCACATTGGGTGGTTTTTGTTTAGGATGGGAAGAAAGATTAATTCTTCCATTAAAAATGTAATAGTTGCATGACTAAGCATGAACTATACCAGCTTGTAGGCTTGTATATGGCCAAATTTTCTCTTGATTATGTGTGCTTTTTAATCAATATATTCTCAAATGGTTTTCTAAACGATATACTAAAAAGCAAAATTATTTAACATTCAGGTTTGACTATAAAAAATTATCTAATCATTTTCTCTCAAGAACATTCATATTCTTTCAATTAGGTATATCCTTACACTATATGTCTCAGGTCAAGTTGACGATGTTCCAGATCAGGTTCCTGCAATATAAGCTATCAATAGTTTTGTGTGTGTGTGTCTGTTCTGAAGTTTAAGGAGTGTTGGGCCATGAAAACATTTTATTATACAAGAAAATTAAATCTATAATAATGTCTTGGTTTAAGGCTTGGTAATTATAAATCTGGTTAGGTATGTTCTGTAAAACTTAATCCTGATTTAGGAACTTAAATTGTTTTTTTATAAACTAGGTTTTCATTTTAAAGAAATATTTTAACTCGGGACTTTGAAATTAATTTCCCTTTAGTTTGTTTTCTTCAAAACCTTTTCATGCATTGCATTTTCCTCCTACAGTTTTCTCATGGGTATCAAGTTGACTAGATCTTGTAGGCCAGAAGTAGAATGTTTTTCTGGCCTAATATCTTGATACCTTTTCCAGGTTACATATTGTGAATTCTCCTGTTGACAGAGAAAAGGTTTGCAAGCCTACATTACTGCCTGATGGACGAGCAGTGTACAGGTGCATTTTCTGTGGCAAGGATTTCCTCTCATTCTCAGACATCAACCGACACATGGATTTCCATGAAGGTAAGTGCTTGCCTTTTACTGAGTGTTTTTAGTCATGAGAAAATGTGCATCCCACTTGAGGTAGCTCTAGTAGACATTCTTTTCTTTTTTTCTTTCTTTCTTTCAAATGCTGGCCTGTACTTTCTAAAATTCATTTAATTTTAAGTAACATATCATACATCAATTTGATTATTTGCATTGTCAAGGAATTCTGTTGTTAAAATATAAAACCTGGAGCTTTGGATCAAAGTGGATTGAGATTCATTACAAACAGGAATGCTATTTCTGCTTGCAGGCATTAGTGAGAATTTTTCATTTGCACTTACAACCTAACTTCATGCATCTCTTAAAGTTGATGAAAGATATGTGTCTCAGCTTGATTTAAAATAACAAATTCCTTTGATTCTTTTTCTTAAACTTTAGAAACCACAAAATTTTGTGACTTAATTAAATAATTATCAGTGATATTTTTTGATAATTGAGATTCATCTTTCATCTGAATACAGTTTTCTTCCACTTAATGTAGGTACCTCCATGAAATCGTTAAAAAAAGAGCATAGCTTGATGAAAAAAAAGACACCAAACTTGCGAAAACTAAATTTTATTGTCTAAATGCTTATGTTATTATTAAGAGGAAAGACCAAAGTTTTTTTAATTATTTTTAAAAATTTTCCTTCTTTTTAGAACATTCTAAATTTTGATTAAAAAAACCTTTTTCTATTTGTATCAGCGGAACTAGTAAATAACATAGACAATTTTAGCATGTTTTTTGGTATGACACACATTAATTTGAAAAATCGTGCAAAAATAGAAATAATTATCGGATGTTAATGAAACTTTCAGAAACTATTCACAGATGATCGAAATTATTATAAATATGTTTTTTTATGAAAGTCATGGTAGAAATATTTTTTAAAATATTTATTACCCCCCCAACTAATTTTATGAAAACGCTAGAAATTGATCGCATCGGTTTTAGTGATTACAATAATTAAAAGCACAGGGCTTTGAGGAATGCAAATCATGTTTTTTTTTTTTTAATTGGATACGCAGTACCTGAAAATCAGCTCTGAATTGTAACATACAAAACTCAATAAAACAAATATATTATTTAATTTCAAATGCTTTTATTTGCTTTTAGTTGTTTTTTATGAATATGGACAATATTTTCTGAAAGCAAAAAAATTTTTTCGATGAAAAAATGAATTTTTAATACAATTATTTGTTATTTCATTAATTATAATAGATTTTACATTTAAGTTGTTAAAATATTATAAAATTAGTTAAAAGCCAGATCGGCTTTCATAAGTGTCCTTATGAGATAGATCTTTTTTTTAGCGCATTGTAAATTGTATCATTTTGACTAATCAGAAGATACCCAGTAATTAAGAAATGTAATTTTGTGCTTATAATCGAGCTGTAATTATAAAATACGGAAGACCAACCAGAATATAATTAAGTTGCGTTATTTGAGTTAAGCATTGTTCTCCGCTGTTAAGGCCTTTACTTTTTTGCGAAACACGTGTGAAGTTAATTTGATTTTTCAATTTCAACTGAGAAGGGTACCTACAAGTATCAGTATCATCTTATGAAATTTATATGATCTTATTTTATATTAATCTCAATTCGACATTTTTCCATAAATGAAATATCAAAATTAATAATAAAAAATGAATGCAAATACAAATAACAGTAGAATGTAATAAATGTACATAAAATTATAGTATTTTATGTACAATTGTGATAAAATTTCATAAGAAAGGTACCTATAAATTAATTAGATACCTTTCTTAAGAAATATGAAATTTAATGTCACTCTTAACAGTTTTATTTTAATTTCTTTACAATATATTTCCCATAAAGCATCATAAACGTAAAGGTGAAAGCTAAGTAAAAAAAAAAAAAAAAAATTAGACCGCTGAAAGTTTTTGTTAAAAATAACGGGGTAAATAATTTGTTCACGTAAATGTAAATTATTTCACTTTTCTCCTTCCGTAGAACAAATTAGCCTCATGGAATTCGTAAATATATCATTCATCACATGTCAAGAGACGCGAAAGTTTATGACCTGCTTTGTTTTATTTTCAAATTTGGTTCAAAATATTTTAAATAAACATTATAATTTCTGATTTTCTTAAAATAAGTTTTGAAAAAATGATAATTGATATTTAAAAAATTTCAAAGTCAGATTTCCAGTTTTTTTTTAAAATGGAAAAAAAAAATGGTCAATTTTGCTGACTAAAAAAAAAACTAGATTTTTAACGAAAATTTCAGACGTGCTAGGAACGATTAAAAAAATGGAAAAAATACCCCCAAAATACTTTTGACCTTTCCTCTTAATAATAACAAACATTTAGACGATAAAATTTTGTTTTCGTCAAGTTTACGCGTCTTTTTTTCTTCATGCTATGCTCTTTTTTTAGCGGTCTCGTGGAGGTACCTAACTTAATGCAAATCATTTTCAAATTTTCTTCACAATCACTTTTGTCAATGTTAAGTTTTGCATTTAATATATTTTCTTCAATTATAAAATAACTAAATGAAACTATCATCTAGATTTGTTTGATTGGTGGTATTATTTAACTCCAAAATTAGTAATTATATTAATAATGAAAGCATTAAGAAAATTATATGTTTTAATTTCATTAAATAAATATAAAACTTCTATCCAGTAAGCCAATTAGAGAAAATAGACTAACAAAAATTACAACACTTAAATTTCTTTAATACATCTTATTAATGTAATTAAATTATTTATAATGCTGATATATTTATTGAACTAAGTGTTCATTGGCTATTGCTAGTTTCATTTAGTGTGACCATGAGCCAAATTATACTAAAATTGGTATACACCAATATTGCTTATCATAGAAATTTTAGAAACTAAGAAAATATATACAAATAAGTGCTGTTGACTTATCAAGATCATTTAATGAAAGCTCCAAACATATGAAGCTTTAAGCTTGCTTCTAAGTAGGCCAGACTTGTCTGACTGATTCTGAAAAGTCAAAATTTTTGCCAAGATATTTGACAAATACTGTAAAGTACTCATTACTCCTGCTGAAAACTGGTTGGGAAGTGTTTCTTCTCCCAATTTTACCCAAACCTTCAGTATCAATCTATTGACAAAAAGAACACAAATACCAAATTGTGTTTACATTAAGTTACCTAATGCTTTATCAAGTGGCTACATCTTTCACCTTTTTAAAAGATAAAATTATTATTAAAGCATTAAAAATTCAGTAAAATTTGAATGTAAAAATGTGCAAAATTATTTTGGAAGCATTACATCTCTTGGTGTTTGTCTGTTACATTACAATGACATGAGAGAAAAGTTTCTTAAATAATTGAAATTGACATAACATTAAGAATTGATTGGAATATAACTTTTAGACATAGTTTGTCATTATTGATCTGAAGAAAGTTTTGTGGGATTATTTTAACAACTAATAATATACTCATATTCAAAATTATATTAATAACTATTCAAAAGTAAGATACATTAATAATTCAGTTACCTTTTGAATATATATACATATACATGTGTGTGGGTGTGCATAAATATAATTGGCCAATGGAAAAAAAAATCTGAGAAAGAAGAATATTATTTATTATATATTATTAGGTCAATAAACAAAATAAATGCACAATAAGAAAATGTTTAAAATTGGAATTTTTGGACACACCTGTGTCCTTTCACAAAGAAAAATAAACTGATTTATTTTTTTTATAATTTAAAAATTAAAATATGTGTGCATATATATATATATATATATATATATATATATATATATATATATATATATATATTATTATGAAAATCATCAATGTGATAATTTACATGGTTAATATTGTATTTAATATTTGTTACATGTTATTAAACCCAATTCAACTGTAAATTTTGTTTGCTGTCTTTTTACTTATTTTCCACTTATTCAGATTAACATTCACAGCACATTTAACCTTACTAATATAAAAAGGATAAAATATATTCCTTCACAGAATTACAACTTACCTCTTTCTCTCCTGCAGCCTAAATGATGCTTAATCAAAAGTATTTTTTACAAAAAATACAGTGTTGGGAAAGTATCCAGTCATTTAAAAACTGGAAAAAGTAGTCTACCTAGGTCAATAACACCCAAACATTAAAGAACCCTCTTTGGGACTTCACACACTTATCCCAACATTCTCTCCACTTTTGGAAACATTTGCAAAATGATTTTTCCAATTGTCATCAGCTGCCTCACTACATTCTCTTTAATCTCATCCATCAATTTTATTTTAGGAGCCAAATGTGGACTGTGGGTGGTGACATATCTGGGTGATGCAATGTTTGCCAGAAATTCAGAACAAGATGTAAAGAATCTGCTAATTGTAAATGCAACAGTTATACATTTATTTCAATGGTGTCTCACTGCTAACTGAGTAACCCTATAGGAGAGTGTCTGATGCATTGCCAAGTTATATCAAAACCACACAACTGGTTCTCAAGATATTCATAATGGCTGGCTACTTTCCAGAAAGAGCTTGTATTGTACATGTTCTATTCTACTTAACTACTTTTTAAAAGACACGTGCTGAGACAGAAACATCTGTGTTAACATGTTTAGTTGACAGAGATTGCATCCGAAAGTATGTATAAATTGTAAATTTCAAGAGAATCTTTCAATTTCATAATAGTTTTATATCTGATAAGATTATGACTTAAAAAGAATTGAGAAAATCCTAATTGAATAACCCAAAGGACTGATTCATTTCAATATTTCTTTTAGTCGCATTCACAATCAAATTCATCAGCTTAAAGCAAAAACAGATTTTCATGAAAATGCAGATTTAAAGTTTCAATATGTTAATTTTTAGAATTCCTAATTAAGTATAATAATATCTTTTTTTCTTACCTTCTTTATTTTATTCATTGATGTGACAGAAAATAATTCTAACTATCTTTATAAAAATATGGTAGGTGCAAAACATAAATTGTGCTTTCTTTCTTTTAATTAAGATATTTTCTATTTTCTCAA